GCCAAAAATATCTGATAGAACTTTTGTAATTCTGAGGTAGGAATTAGCCTATGTGCTGTGGCGATGGCACATGAGGTTCCCCAAGCTAACAAGTGCCAGGAATTGTCGGTTGTTGGGGTTTAAAAAAAAATTAATGTAGGTGTTTTTACGTTCAATCGATACAATTTAGATTGTTTAGGAAGCAAGCTTAGAATCCTGCCTGCCAGGGCTTACACAGGCTGAGAGGAATACATTGTACAACATCCCATCTGGAAGACTGAGATACTTGATTTTAAAAAATTCCCAATTTATACCGAGCCGCTATATCAAGATATTTAAAGAATTGCATTTTTCAAAAAGCTTGCAATGTTGTGAAAGTCAAACATTTTGACGTCAAATTTCTCAAAACTAAGTACTGAGCGGAGAGAAGTTTGTAAATCTAAGGTAGAGAAAGTTGATGTGTGGCGTCTGGAGTATGACGTGGCTACCGACAAAGCGACTCGTGCGTGTGCATCAAAGTACTCAAGAATTGATGGAAAGGGAAAGAGAACCAATTAATTGACGTGGAAGCTTTCATCGGAGCCTCCAGTGGAACGGTTCAAAGTTCAAGTAGTAGTAGGCCTATCATCTTCTCCCTGATTGTTTCCCTGTGAGTTTTGTGTCTGAAGTCCAAATGGTATGAGATTCCAGGCATCGATTTCGAGACTCCTAAATTGGGCATCGTGATCGTGTACACAGACCTCTTTATTGCACAGGGGACATTATCCTTGAAATTAGGGGGCAAAACACGTCTTGTGGGGAAAATGAGTCATTGTTACTTCCCTTAGGTTTTTCTACATGCACACCTCCCGTGGTCTCTTACGGTTGGTTCTGAACTTCAAAAGGAAAACAAACAAACAAAACAAACAAACAAAACAAACAAACAAAACAAACAAACAAAACAAACCAAACGAAACAAAAACAATCAAACAAACTTAGTAAGACAAAAGAAAAAAGCTTTACCCAGAGAAAAATACAATTGTTTCATTTCTGTGAAGTGGAGAGTTGATAGGTCAGTGTCGACGTCTAGCTTAAAAGAAAAGACGTGTGTATAATATACATGTATATGAATTCTAAAAACCATTTCAGCGTTCAGGTCGGAATTTAGGAAACTAAAAAAAGAAAAGAATAAAAAACCCGGAAATCTTTAAGATCTGAATACTTTGTTTTATTTTTTGTTTGACAAGATGAGAATCCCATTTTACTAAATTGTATTTTAAAGCAAACAAACAGACCAC